CTTTAAGACGCTGTGCTAACTGTGGTGCTGCAACAGGTTTTCCGCTCTTGTTCATTCTTGACACCGACTCACGCACGAGAGGCTGTATGCTTTCTCCATGTTTCGGAGGCCTCCCAGATGGTTTTGGACCTTCCATCTGTCATAATTAATTTGTCGACCACTGAAATGATAAATATCAATAATAACCGAAATGATATGAAGTACAGCCTACCGAGGTGAAATTCTTGTCGTGGTGCTGCTCCCAGTGCGCCCATATAGCTGAAATGGTGCCCGTAGCAAAGCCTAAACACTCTTTGACACGATAACGAACTCCTCCTTTCCATAGATGCGGTGCAGAGGCCTTCTTTTGGCGGAGGAACTCGTAGGTCTTCACAACCAAGTACTTCTCAGCAGCAGTCAATTTCTTACCGGCGACCATTTGAAAAGTAGTGAACATTATTAGATGCTGTGAAGTTCTTACGAGAATAAATAGACACCAAGCTATCTATTAAGGGGACACACAACGAAATCGGCTCTACGGTTGCGGAGTTACATTCCTCTAATTTAAGATAAAATATATTACCATTTTTGTCCAAGCCTTTTTGGCCGGGATAATAGAGACCGACCCTGTACTACAACTCGTCAACAGCCCCGTCGCTGACATGTTTACGAACGGGGAGCCAGACGAATCATCGCAGGTACCTGTGTTTGGTCGACGGTCGTTTGTGGATGACATTTGCTTCGGTGGCGAGGATTTCGACAGCTGCCTAGCGACGCTGGACCGATTGCTAGCAAGATTTGCACAGTGTCGGATCAGCATTAGCTTCACCAAGAGCATCTTTTGCCAGCCCAAGGTGGACTTTCTGTCGCATAAAATTTCGCCAGAAGGTATCAGAGCTGACCCCAAGAAGCTTGCGGCCATCACCGAGCTTTCGTTTCCACGAGCAAGAAGGGCATGCAGTCGTTTCTTGGAGCGGTTAATTACTACAGCCGCTTCATTCAAGACTTCGCGGTCTACGGTGCGGCGCTGTACCAGCTCAAGGATGAAGACTTTGACGTTGAAGGTGGCCTTTCTGTGGCACGTCGTTCCTTCAAAAAATTGAAGACGAGTGTTTCACATTCACCCATCCTCAGGCACTTCGATCGGTCGAAAGAAGTTCACGTCATGCTCTTTGCGAATGAATGGGCGTTGAGCACTACACTAATGCAAGAACATGAAGGCAAGTTACACCCCGTACGGTTCCTCGGTCGGGTGCTCAAGGAGGCTGAGATGAACTACCATCCTGCCGAGAAGGAAGTTTTGGCGCTACTTCTGCTGTTGAAGATCTGTTACGTCCAGCTGGCAGGAAAGACGCTACATGTCTATACACGATTCTCGACGTTAGAGTGGGTGCATAAGTCGAAGTCTCTCTTCGGACGCGCGGTCCAGTTCGCAGTGCTGCTATCGCAGTGGCAGCTTAAGGTGCAGCGCGTGAAGGAGAAGGATGTCGCCTTTGCGCAGCTACTGCAGTCAAGCATCACGAGCTTCGTTGACCTGGAAGACTCGCTCGCGCCGGTGGCACCTCCACACAAGGGTTCCCCGACTGTTCGAATGGACCCCGCGTTGCTGTACGCCAGGCTTTCCCGTAATTACAGCGGATTCGTCATGTCTTTTGACGGATCAGCGAAGACAGAGAAGTACGGTGGCTACGGGAGTTGTTCATGGGTGCTGTGGAGCCTTCCTGCAGCGGGGCTGCCGTAGCTTTAGCGTCAGAGGAAGACGTTCGACTCAAAGAGTCACTAATACTAAGTTCCTTATCCAAAGGACACTTACAGCCCAAGACCAGGGCTCAAAGTTAACACCTTAACTTTTATGCTTCAAAACCAGAAGTCTTTTATTTACTATTATTGCGGCCAAGCCGCCTAGGGGTAAATGTATCTCTTTAACTATCTAGCATAGTTAAACCTAATCAAATGCATAACGTGTGGCTTTCAGCCAACGTACTGAGAGACCTTGTTAACTCTCCAGCTTATGTACTGAGAGTTTGTTAACTCTCCGGGTACTTCGTACCCCTGTGTGCTCCACACCATGTAACCCCGTTACACTCTCCCCCACTAAGATGAGAACATTCCGTTCTCGAAACTCTCCTCAGCGAGGTCACGTCTTGTTAAGACGGCGGAGGTTACTACACCTCACACCAGCCTTGTAAAGCTCCGTGAGCTCACAAACGCCTACGCATCGTTGATGCCCAACTTCTCGTCGTCGGCCCACGGCCCAATGCTCCAAGCGCAGCGCGCATCTTGCTCTCAAGCGGTCTCAGACCTACGCTCGCGCTCCGCGCCTACTCCAAGAGCTGCAAACCGCTTAGAGCAATGCTCTTGACTCATTCGAGTCGTCGACAACAGCTCAGCGGTTGAACACTCGCTTCACAAGCGATAGGTCGGTGGTTCAAACTCACTAGGGCACAGCCCTCTCGTTCCATGAACGATTGTTCACGCTTGGACAAGCTTAAGGGCAACACCCTTTTAGCTCAATGGTTGAGCGTTGGCTTTGAGAGCCACAGGTCGGTGGTTCGAGCCCACCAGGGCACAGCCCTGTCGTTCCATGAACGATTGTTCACGCTTGGACAAGCTTAAGAGCAATCCGCTTTTAGCTCAGTGGTCGAGCGTTGGCTTTGGAAGCCACAGGTCGGTGGTTCGAACCCGCCAGGGCACAGCCCTCTCGTTCCATGAGCTGTTGTCCTTGAATGGACAAGCTTAAGGGCAACGCCCTTTCAGCTCAGTGGTCGAGCGCTGGCTTTGAAAGCCACAGGTCGGTGGTTCAACTCCACCCGGGCGCAGCCCTCTCATACCATGAGTAGTCCGTTCTCGGACTGACGTACGGGCATCGTCCCAACCCACTTGACTTTGAGCTCGCGTACAGCACGCTCCGTGCTCGTCGACAGTGGTGTTCTGTCGTCGAGGATGGCCTCGACTTCATATTCACCGGCAACTTGATCTAGTTCCCAGCTGTCCTCAGGCAACGGTTCCTCATCGAAGTCGAGTCTTGCTTCATTAGTCGCGTCTAGTACCAACCGAGTGTTCGGTCGACTGTTGAATTCGTTGACAGCCTTGAGTCTCGACACATGCACTGCTGGGTAGAAGCGATACCCACTTCGGTCAGGCAGTTCCAGCTCGTACGCAAACTCTTCCACCTTGCGCTTGATCCGAAAAGGTCCATGCCATCGGTGAGCTAATTTCTTCGTCAAGCCCGGTTTGACGCGTTCCATGTACAACCACGCCCGGCTCCCAATCTCAAAAAGAGATCTCGGTGGAGCTCTTGCAGGATCTTCCATCTCTTCTGAAGCTTCTAGAGGGTCTGCCGAGTGTTCGTTTCCACTTGGTTGAGGAACAGCGGCTTTTTCCAGTCGACTCAGGGCATCGTTATGTTTTTTAGCCTTTCGCTCCTTTTCTACAGCCTGATAATCTTTGGCCATAGTGAGGGCGACCTCATGTTGTCGATTGATCTCACGCCGCCACGCTAATGCGTCAGACTGCTTGCCGAGCCCTTGTTTGAGTGATGACGACATTGCCCGCAGCGTCGACTGAGCATCCCAACCGTGAACGAGGTAGAACGGCGTCTCCTTCCTCGTAGTGTCTTGAGAAGTATTAATAGCAAATACCAGCTTCTCCGCGATTTCGTCCCAATCTTGCTGTAGAGGGTCTTCCGCGTACACCCGTACGGATCCCATCACCGACTTCACCGAGCGTTCCTGCTGCCCATTAGCCTGTGGCCGATAGCTCAAAGTCGCTCGTGATCTTGACTGCATCATCTCTGCAAATGCTTGGAACACCTCGCTCATGAAGCGTGGGTCGCGGTCGTGCGTTATCAGTGATGGGGCTCCGAATCGTCGGTACACACATTCTTCGAACACTTGGGCAACACTCAGTGCAGTCGTATCTGACATAGCCTTGGCAATAACGAATCCCGTAAACGAGCACTGAAATAGGAGCAACGCCGAGTTGCCCCTGCGAGAATTCGGTAGTGGGATCACAAAATCCATCGAGACGATCTGGAAAATCGGCCAATACACAAAGTCTCTTGGCCTTGCCGGATGAACCCTCGCTACAAAGCTTCGAGTTCACCGACAGGCATAACACACTCAAACAAGCTTGACTTGACGCTTACCTTGAAGCCGGACGTCGCTCTGTGTGCTTGAGTGGAAATTCTGTTCTGTATTTAAGCTTACCCTTTCGGGTCTATTCCTAATAAGAAGTCCTAATCAAGCATACAAATATCAAGTGAACAATGATCCGTTATGAATTTTCGTGCACGCCAAGCGTCGTCTGCACCGTCACATGAGTATCTTTAACGGTCCGCGCCCTGTCCTAGACGGTGAACGTGCCTTCTAAGGGTCGCTGAGTCTTCCGCGAACTCATCCCAACCGCCACTGAGGGTTCGTACCGTAGAAGGTCCGCTGAATGCGAATCCGGCCAGTCCATTATTAATAATAAGGACAGCCTGGATTCAGTGACATATGGACCGTATCCAATATCCGTTGAGAGTTCGGAAGTGACGCCGTCGAGTCCCTTGCACCTTGGCGTCTCCGTACATCACATGACCGAGGGCTCGTCGCTTGAACATCTTGGGCGGTGTCACGTCTTTGTCGACGGGTGATAATCCGCAACTACGGAGAAATCACTACACCACAATCGTCAAGCTTGGAGCGTGAGTATCAAATGCGCTTATTAAAAATAGAATGCTAGATTGTTAATTCTGATCTGTGGTTAGCTCCGCCACCGGTTCCAGGAACTCCAGGAACACCTCGCATTTTCCTTTAATGAGGTGCGCTTGCATTAGGATGAGAAAGAGTGGCATGTAGACGACAACCCTACACTGTACTGCTTCCTCAAAGTTAAAGTGACACTTTTGAATTTGCTTAACATACATGTCTAACCTGTTTAAAAACATATCATTTTCACTTCATATCACCCGCTCAATATCATATTTTACGGTGCAAGGTCGTGGAAAATTTGTAACAAATTAAGAGCCTGTAGTATTTATGAGCTCGAGTCGGTACCCTTCGGCGATGTTCGGCGACAAGTTACCGTCACTCAAGGCTCAAGCGTCACTTCGGTCTCCTGTGACTCCCAAGCAAGACAATCGACAACCATCGCCGCATGGTTCTGGGTCCGGCACTCCGTCCACTCCGCGTCGTCAATCGTCGCAGCGGTTGATGTTCAAGTCATCATTGGTGGCTGAACAAGCGTTTGCGTCGAACAGCGATATTCTCGATATCACTCCGAGAAAATCGAAATGTTGTCGGGCGAAGATGAGCCATCGTCGTCGGCGGTTCCGTCTGCAGACGACTACGAGGAGAAGAAGTCCGAAGTAATCATCAACACGCCGCCACCCGTCTCAACATCTCCGACGCCAGCGTCGCCCCGTACTCCATTTTCTGGTGGGGCGTCGTCCGCACCTGCACACGCGGCTGTGGTCCCTGCAGATCGTCCTTGCGTTGGCAGCGAAGCGTCGTCGGCGGATCAAGTTCGGTTCTGCCATGTAGTAGTCATCGTGTCGACGTTCTCGCCTGGTTTCGACCCTCGCTAGACAAAGCCGTCGTCCCCAGTGCCGACTCACGGTATCCAGCCTGTCGTGCGGTCATCGGCAAAGATTCCGGCGTCGTCGACGCCAGTTGTCGCCCTCCGGTTTCACAAGCAAGCCTCTCGACGGTGCTAGATGCTAATTATCAGCGCTCGCGTATCTTCGCCAATCGGGGGCAACGCCGTCACTCCACGCAGCGTCGAGGGCATGATTGCGTTCGGCAACTCCAGCGACCCTATTCAACATATTCACGCGTACCTTCGACAGTTGCCGGATCAAGCTTGGTTCTTCGACAGTACGGTGACGGCTGACCGGCTAGAATTGGAACGCTTCGGTCATCCCTCTGGATGCTGAGCTGTGGCGCAGCTGTAGGGCGACGGCGCTTCACCTTCACCCATAAACACGACGTTCTATCCGTTCAATCATTCGGTGGGAATGCTCGTTCCGCATGGTTGGACCCGCTAAGCTGTCAGGCGACGGCGTAATCTGAGGCTGTCGCTGGATGGGATTAGGAGTGAGCGCATACTACCACCGTTCAAAGTCCTGCTCAATCCTCGCGAGCAGCGGCTCTAGATGATCTACCCTCGTCGTCGGTGGCTCCTACCTCTCGCGTAGCTTCACCGGCTTCGCATCTTGGCTTGTCAGCCTCTGGGGTCAAGTTATCTGCTGACGTCATCTGACCATCGCTGCTGCGTGAGATCCGTTCGACCAGAGGTCTCCTGCTGCTTTGCGCTACTCTCGACAATTCGTGGCGACTTCTGTAGGCAGTCGTCTTTCATCGTTTCTTGCGTACATGCATAAACGTAACGATGTTTTTTTGTTTTCTTCGTAGCTCGTGTAGTAGCTTCATTCGTCTGCCAATGTGACTGCACCGCCCCACATAAAGGTTAGCATCTTTACCGCAGTGGCTTTCTTCGTCTGTTGCCGAGGGTTGCGATGCCCCACGGTCAGTTCTTCTTCCGGACTAAACTTCGTCGGCGACTTGGTCTTCCATGGCGGTGCGCTCTCTCGCTGAGAATATCGCTCCCTCCAAATAAAATGTTGTATAGTCAAGTCAAGTGAAACTTCTCTGCAATCAGTCGCTTTCTGCTCTTTTGTGTTACTTCACACCCTCTCTCTAGCCCGCGATCACGTCATAACTTTCGCCGCGCCGCGGCTTTTGCGCAGATTCGGAAGTGATGTGGAGTAGGAATTCTTCGTGGATCATGTTCCATATTTGCGTATGGTACACACGTTGTTGAGGGGACAAGTTGCGTGGGTTATACTGCACAGCCCCGCGGAGAGGGGGGGGGGGCCGGCGAACATCGACCATACAATACTCGGGTCTCTGTCACGATGGAAGTGTTAGTCTCTACCAAAGCAGCAAGGAAAGGCACTATGTATGAAGTTTATTTCCAAGCAAGGATGTCGCAGCGACACCAACACGTGTGGCTTTATAAATCGAGTGTAGGATCGAGGGCATTTCCACCGAAGGCATTGCCCCGTAGTCAGTGAATTCATCACAACGAATTACGGGGAATTGCGTGATGATCTTCCTGGTAGCGAGGACGACTGAAGGTGCCATGGAATTGGCTGTGAGCGCGGCGATTCTCAGGCTTGCGTTCGTCCATTCAGCGCAGCCTCAGATTCTCCAATAAAACAAGGAGAAGGCAGCTTCATCGACCTGTATGGGGATAATTTTACCCCGATAAGCTCAGCTCGAAACAGCTCAGCTGGTTCCAGATGGACGCGATATTACTCCGTCACAACAGGCGAATTGGGAGTTTCACCACTCGAGGCAGCTCAGTGGAATATACAGAGGCACGAGAGTATTTTGTCCCCACGAACCAATTTTCAACGTGTCGAGAATGATCAGCTCGTGACAGCTCAGCCTGATCTTCACAGCATATCCAGTACGCATCACTATTTTTGTAAGTTGCAGGTGATATCACGGAATGCCGGAGGACCGCTCACGCGGGATCGGCTCAGGACCCAGCTACATGAGTATACTCAGTTCCGACAGAAGTGCTACATCAGTACACTATTGGCTCGTCAGTGGTTACTGTCCTGTCTAAACACGATGGCCAGAGAAGGTTTATGGCAAGCCCTTTTAGCATTTGGTGTAAGCAAGTCACGACCGTCTCCATCGACGGCAATTGTTGCGGGTCAAATTCAGTGTCAGCTCGATCGCAACAAACATGATGCATTCAGCGCGTTTTTGAGAAGATCCAATAGGCAGCTACCACTATTTGTGCGACTTTATCGAATCGAATGCAATGAAGATCCTAGACCGAACAAGGCGCTAGCAATTTCGGACCATTTACCAGGATAGAGCAGTGCTGGCAGTGGAAAGATACGACGTCTTTACAATAGGCATGTTTAAACAGTGTCTAAACTGTCCATTGTCTTTTGAAGGAACAAACAGACGTCTGTTCAAAAGATACCGTGTACCATTGACTACTGTCAGCGACGGAATAGTGGAATTCGCGTACAGACGCAAGTAAAAAATTCATAATGCTTCATCATGAGCAATTTGCCGATTAGTGGACTGTGCCCGATTAAGCATGATAATAAATTCAAGTCAAAACCCCACCCGCAGGTGTCCTGTAAAAAGGGGAATAAACGTTCGGTAAAAAATGTTCAAACAAACGGACGTTCTTTGAACAGACGTCTTTACCAGCACTGGATATACTGTAGTCGTTAGCATAACCGCGACGATTGGATATCGATTATCCGGCACGATGTAGCTTCGTCGTGGAGTCGCTCGCGTAAAGGTCAGCTCTCGCCACAGCCAAATCATTCCTCCGCAACAATTGCCCTGAATATGCTGGTAAAAGGTATCATAAAAGGGCAAAATGACGGAAGATATCCGATTCTGGATTTGGGGCTCTTGAGCCAGCTCGACGGTATCACTTGTAGCCCATTTGCTGTAGTTTCAAATGGCGACGAGGATCTCTCGGTCGATGCAAAGATCATTCGTGGCCTCTCTTACACCAGACACATACCATCTATCAATGACCATTCGATAGAATTCCCAATGTCGTGGTCGCGTACGATGGGGCAAGGACACTAGCTGCAAAAATTGTCGATGTCGAAGAAAAGGATCCCAGAGCGGCGAACATGTTGACAGGCGATGTAGCAGAGCTTTACGTAACATTTTTTTTGGGACTGGAGCTATTGGTCGGTGGAGGAACGTTTCTTCAGTTAGGAGTCCTGGTTATTGATCTTGCGTGCCCGCTTGGCTATACGAACTCTCCAGGATATTATTGGGTAGCTAGTGACGCGGTCAAACGTATTCACGCGTCTCGAGAAGCATTTTCGTTGCCGTTTGGCTCAAAAGCATGGTGCGAAGATCATAGATCGACTGAGCCAGACGGGGGTACACGGGGTTTTCAAAGCTAAGTTTTGGTGCGATCGGCTATGATCCGAGCATGGGGACCCAAGCCATGTAACAAGGACAAGTTTTCCTCATGGTTTCGTGTGGGAAAATCACTTGGTCTTCTGTGGAGTTTATTTAGGTGGGGTTCTCTGTTAAAAAGAAGGTCCTCTTCGCGAGGAGCAAGATTGGCGGGTGTGACGAATTTGGTATAAATTTGCGAGAGCGGATGAGCGCGGATTTTGCAGCTATGGTGTGGACATCAGTGTGGAGCTCGCCAGCAAACTACTCTTCTTAACACATTCGATTTTGGATAGATGACGCCACCGCGGTTGCTTGGAATAATTGCCGCGGAAGCAGACATCCGTTCGCCCAATTGCTACTGCGGCTGCCTTCTCTCTTCAAAGTCCGTTATAACTTCTACGCAGCGGCGGCACACATCTCTAGAGGCCAAAACAAGATGGAATATGATGTGGCAATCGAAGTCTATGGCTGATCTTTCTCAACGTGGTCAGAGGCGTATAAACCACAAGACTCGAGAAAACTCTCCTCGATCTGAAGACGCTACCCCAAGTCGGTGTTGTAGCATCTACCTCGCGCACGGCGTATTCAAAGGCTTGTCAGTAGTGGACGGATGGTGTCCGTATGATGAGATTGTGGGAAAGCTGTGTCCAATTCGCTGGTATCCCAAGTTTTGGGTGAAAGCCCACAATAGACTGAGATTCGACCTCAGTAGACACCACAAAATAGCCGCCAATATACACTTTCACACGTAGAAGGGCCAGTCCGCGTTTGCACGACGCCGAGCACGCTACTGCACAGCAAATCATGGCTTTTGTTTCCTGTGCGCAGCGAGTCTTCATTTGCCCAAGCTTCGCGCGGGTCTATGCTCCATGGACGCCATGGCATGGAGGCCTACCTAGCTTGCGCAAGCCGTACATCAACGGAGAAGAGAAAAATTGTCATTTTAAACGAATTAATTCAGTAAAACTGTGTCCTAGTAGCTAGCTTTTACATAGTCTTTGTGAGCTGAGAAAGCAGAGACGTCCTGGCTCGGTTGGCCATGCTGGCATTGAAGCCACCCTTGGCGAGCGTCTCAATCTGCAGCAGGATGGAGCTTGGCTTGTGCTGCTTGATATGCTGGGCGACCTTGTAAAGGTAGTGCGGCATGTATATACCGCAATCTACCGCATTAGACTAGCGGGGCTTGCAGGTGTAGGAAAACCCCCGGCTGCCTCGAATCTTCCACGGCTCGTGTGTAGAACCGCAAACCACCAGTCCAGACACGCGAAAATATAATCCTTGTCGTGACCATTGTGAAGCGAGTCGATATGATAATATATCGTTTTTGCGTCGCTGCCATTCTGGATAATTACAGCGCTCCAGTGGTCGTTAAACGTCACAGGCAGTAATACATATTTGTATCCACTCCCATCGAAATCACCTATTGTGTCGGGGGCGCTGGGCTACCGACCCGAGTGCTTGATGTAGGCGTAGTTAATGGCCGAAAATACAGCCGATCTTGCAGGTAACGTGAGTTCTTGTTCAGGTTTTGTGTAACGAGAGATTCAAGAGTCCACCACGGAGCTAGTAATCGGAGCTCCTCTCTTCACGATGGCGATATCATCAGCGAGGGGCGGAATCGAGATAGGCTCTGCGGACCTCCCTGTGGTGTGGGGGTAGATGCGTACGTGGGCAAGTAGGTTATTTCGTTGCCACAGGCTGTACGGGCCGGCACTCTGTTGCAGGGGTTGGGTGTCAGGTTCTCCAGTTGACTTTTCAATGCAAATTTGAGGCTTTTATCTCTTTTCTGATTCCGCTCTTGAGTCAATGGTAGCCACTGGTCCTGGAACCCTTAAGTCTGATTCCAAAATTGATGCATCGGATGAGAACAGTTGCAGCGGTTCACAATAATGAGACCAGGTCAAATAATTATGACCTGACAGCTCACAATAGAGTGACACGGCCAAATATTTATGACCCGACAGTTCACAATAAA